GGGAGAAAGAGGCAGAGGGGGAAAGGAGAGAGACGCACAAGGGGAGGGGGAGAAAGAGGCAGAGGGGGAAAGGAGAGAGATGCACAAGGGGAAAGGGAGAAAGAGGCAGAGGGGAAAGGAGAGAGATGCACAAGGGGAGGGGGAGAAAGAGGCAGAGGGGGAAAAGAGAGACTGGAAAGGAGAGGGGAGACATGGACACAGAGGAGCAGTGAGGGGGAGAAAGAAACATACAGAGTGACTGGGGGAGACAAAAAGGCACACAGAGGGGCTGGAGATAAAGAGACACACATAGGGGCTGTATATATCACTGGTGGATTGGGGGGGAGGCAACAGGGCAATTCCCTCCCCCCCACGAGGCTCTCCCCTGCCAGCCAGTCTCCCTCCCCATTCCACAGGCACCGTGCGGCACACACTGCCCCCCATACACACACTGCCCCCACACACACCATACATATTCACACATTGCCCCATACACACATTGTCCCATACACACACACTGCCCCCGCACACATTGCCCCCCACACACACATTGCCCCACACACCCTACACATTCACACACTACACCCCCCTCACACACATACACTGAACCTTTCACACACACTGCACCCCTCACACATTGCACCACTGCTCCTATACCCTACTACAGCCCCATATCCCAGCAGACCCCAGATAAGTTGTCAAACTGTTCTTAAACAGTTTGACTACTTACTCTGGGAGGGGGTCCCGGCACTCCTTGCACCATAACCACTACACAGAGCAGTAGTGGTTATTGTGCATGGATTATTTCTTTAAATAATCTACAAGTACCCCTCCCGGGATCAGGCTCTGGATCCACCACTGGTATATGACATGTATATTAATGTGTATTAGTTTTATTTATATATATATATATATATATATACATATATATATATATATATATATACCTATTATATTTACACATATATTAATGAACATTTATATATGCATAATACACAGATAAATGTCATTAATATGTACCATTTGTAATGAGCAGATATTGGCCCAGTCTTGTTGCTAGATGCAGACTCCATCACAATAACATATTTAAAGTGAAGAGCGCACCCACAGGACTTCAAAATAAACAAGATACCGTCATTTTTTACAGTTGTGCCCTACATACATTCACCATTTCAGTCCCATTAACAAGCTTTCCTTAATATGTCAAGGTAGTTGGACTGAAACATTGATTACATGCAAAGGCACGTCTGCTTAAAATAAATCTGCACTTGTTTATTTTGAAGCCTATGAGTGCGCTTTTTACGTTGAAGTATTAATTTTAAGTTCTCTTTTCTAACTCTGTATCTGCACACTATGCTGGCGCGACGCATTATGGGGCTGGTAAATATTTTTTTTCCAGGGCTGCTTTTAATTCCCAGTCCAGCCCTGCTGACCATGATGCAAACCTGAATTTCCTGGTGTTAAGGAAGTGATATTACCATTGCTCTAACAAACCAATATGACAGGTTCCACCTTTGTTTACAAAGCTCTTTACCAACGATTCATAATGAGCATTAAGAAACTTAATTCAGATTTATTGTAATTAATGTTTTTCATACTGACAGCCACTAGAGGCACTTTGCTGAAATAGCAGCACCTTCAATCAGATGGTCTCAGAGAGATTGTCTGACTAGCACAGCGTAGCGTTTTGCTGCACATTGGTTGAGGCAACAGGTGGAGCTTCCCTGGCTGGAAGGGGGGAGTAAACTACCTTTTTAATCCTTGAAATGCCGGCCCGTTCACCTTAACAGTGACTAACGCACTATAGTGTTAGGGATACATATCTGTGTTCCAGTTTAATGGAGTTCCTTTAAGTTTAAAATGGATAAAATGGAAAAAATCTCCAAGTCATCTGTACTTCCAGCCTACTTTGTCCCTAAATTTTGAATTCACTTTGAATTCCCAACAATTCTCATTTTAGTAAATAACCCTGCTAATTTTATTTATTTCATCAACAAAGTGCAGCAGTTTTGGGGTAGATTTTTAAAGGATAACTTATTATTTTATTAATAAAAATAAATGTAATGATATCCAGATACGGGAAGATGAAGTATTTTAATTATTTGAAAAAATGTATTTTGTTAGAGAAAAAGATGTGGAAGTAAGACAATTGTGGGGACATTGGGTGGATTTGACAAAGTGTGTGCGACTCGTGAAGGAAAATAAAATGTTGGCCGTAATTACAGAGATAATTGCTGTTACATATGGATGTAAAAAACAGGTGGACAAGACAAGTTAAGTGGAGATTTTCTGCTCTGACATGTATTGCTTCTATAAGTATTTCAAAAGAATTGTAAATTTAATTTGTGAGTAAAATGATGAAATTTTTGGTAGTTTTTTTTACAATCGTCTTTAAATCCTAATGTTTTTCTTCAGATGTGGCACCATCACAGACGTATCGCAAGCCAGACTCGCCATTCCCTGTGAAGGTGTGGAGGGTCGCTACATCACTGTGACCATCCCCGGCCGTGCTGAGTATCTAACACTGTGTGAAGTGGAAGTTTATGGGCATTTCACTGAAACAGAGAATGAGTTAACCTGTTAGTCATGGCCAGTCTTTCCTGCAATTACAGAAAATGCGTTGGCTTCAGCTTAATAATTACATAAACGATCATGTTTTCGCTTATGCAACAATGTAGCTTTTTATGTCCCACAAAGTACAGAGACCTTCCTGGTAAATGTGATTGGCTGTGGCTGTTTACTCTTGCCATCTTACAACATGGCGACCGGGACTGATATATGCTATGCATTCCAATCCACATACTTTCTAATCATATTCTCAGAGATAACAATGAAACTAAATATGTCACCAGTACTTATAAGTAGTAATAGCCCAGTAGTAGCCCAGTAGTAGCCCAGTAATAGCCCAGTAATGGCTCATTAATTGCCCAGTATTAGCCCAGTAATGGCTCATTAATTGCCCAGTATTAGCCCAGTAATGGCTCATTAATGGCACAGGAATAGTCCAGTAATGGCCCAGTAATACTCTAGTAATGGCCCTGGTGTAATATATCACATTTAATTATAGGTTGCAATGAGACCATTAAGATAAATAGCAGCAGGAAATGGGCCAGAAATACTGGATTTATGTCAGTGATTAATATAAGATTCTCCTATAACCCTTTATATCATGATATTTCTGTAGTGGTTTTGGTCCTTACTCGTTCTGTGGGTTTAATAAATATAATGCTAATGCTTGCCTAATTAACCTGTACTTCTTTGTTTGGAAAATAAATGATATCTCATTGTTCTGTGTCTTGTCATTGGTTCTCATGTAATACACAATAACGGGTAAATATGTGCAACTTACACACAGATTAGATACATAGAGATAGATAGAAATAGATAGCTAGCCAGTCACTGCGATCACTGTTACAATTGTGTGAGCCAATGATTGGTAACATTGGCTGACACATTGTCTCTGCCCCTCTCTTCACTTCACTCTGATCTGAGACGAGAGAGGCTGAGAGAGATTTGTAAAGTGTTTCCAAAGTTTCAGAAAACGTTTACATGTTAAAAAAAGTTTTTCACGTTTTTTAGTGCTGATCACAGCATTAACACTGTGATCAGCCTGATTAGGGTATTTAGTACTTTGGTACTGTTTGTAAAAAAAAAAAATGTATTTTTGGAGTGAAATAAAAAAAACAAAAACGTGTTTGACCCTTTTTGTCAGCTGCAGCAATTTTACATTTCTTAACCCTTTCCCTGCTGCCTGTACTGTACAGTACCGTATCGTAATCACTGAGATCAGAGTGCTCTCTGGTCAGGCTGAATTTTTGGGGGGTTATCTTTATTAAAAATAAATAATAATAAAATATCCCTTTTAACACTGGACACAGCTGCCTAAACTTCGATCGGTACTTTTATTTGTACTTTGTATGTCTTTTTGTGTGTGGAAATTGGAATTGAGGGGTGGGGGTAGGTAGGCAGGTAGGTAATAAAGTAGTTTTAACATACCGTATATACTCGCGTATAAGCCGACCCAAATTTAAGCCGAGACCCCTAATTTTACCACAAAAAACTGGGAAACCGTATTGACTCGAGTATAAGCCTAGGGTGGGAAATGCAGCAGCTACTGGTAAATTTCTAAATAAAATTAGATCCCAATAAAATTACATTAATTGAGGCATCAGTAGGTTAAATGTTTTTGAATATTTATTTACAGTGTGTGTATAATGAATGCAGTGTGTGTGTGTATGTGTATATAATGAATGCAGTGTGTGTGTTTGTGTAGTGTGTGTATATAATGAATGCAGTGTGTGTGTGTTTGTGTAGTGTGTGTATATAATGAATGCAGTGTGTGTGTTTGTGTAGTGTGTATATAATGAATGCAGTGTGTGTGCAGTGTGTGTGTTTGTGTAGTGTGTGCATATAATGAATGCAGTGTGTGTGTGTATAATGAATGCAGTGTGTGTTTGTGTAGTGTGTGCATATAATGAATGCAGTGTGTGTATAATGAATGCATTGTGTGTGTTTCTGTAGTTTGTGCATATAATGAATGCAGTGTGTGTCTGTGTGTGTATAATGAATGCAATGTGTGTGTTTGTGTAGTGTGTGCATATAATGAATGCAGTGTGTGTGTATAATGAATGCAGTGTGTGTGTTTGTGTGAATGCAGTGTTTGTGTAAACTGGGTGGTGGGAGAGCATTTTTAATATTAGAATATTTTTATTTTAATATTTAATTTGTTTACTTTTTTTGTCCCCCCTCCCTGCTTGTTGCCTGACCAGGGAGAGGGGTTATGGCATTCCTTGGTGGTCCAGTGGCAGGGGCCGGCAGCAAGCTGTTATTTACTTTTCCAGCAGCTCCTTCAGCTCCCTGTGTAAATCTCGCGGTCTGCGTGCCACGCGGGGCGTTGCCATGGTAACCAGTGGTAACGCTCTGATGGCCGCGGGACTTGCAAGATTTAGACAGGGGAGCTGAAAGGAGCTGCTGAGAAGGTAAGTAACAGCTTGCTGCCGCCCCCCCAATGTAAGTTGCAATAATACTCACTCGAGTATAAGCCGAGGGGGGCTTTTTCAGTATAAAAAATATGCGGAAAAACTCGGCTTATACTAGAGTATATACAGTAGGTCAAAAAATTAATCCACCTAGTATGACACATCACTATATGACATTCAAAGGTAGATTGCTATTTAAGCAGTGTATTCCATCTAAGGGGCCCTGATATGGTGTGAAATTTTACAAATTATGCAAATCCACTACTGGAGATACATGGGCATTTCATATTTATCAAGGGAAGGAAAGCCATTTTGACCAACAAGGATGCCCAAATTCTGTGGGTACAAATGACAAGATTGTCTGGGATCTGATCCTTCCCTTGTTTAATATTGGATACAAACTATGGGTTCATAATTATTAGACCAGTATCGAGTTATTCCAAAATGTATTTTGTTTTGAAACCCTAGCCTGTTGCACAGTGCGGAAAAATCGAAAGGTTTCCCCCAAACCCTGGCAAGAGGCAGACTCAGTAGATGCTACCTTTCAGCACTCTGCCAGGAGGAGTTGCTTTTCCTTCGGTACACAGATAGGAAGGATGTATAAATGCTGTCTACAATGCACAACGAAAGTAAAGTGCCAGTGTCTGTGAGAGGGAGAACTGAGCAGCTGGAGAAGCCAAAGTGCATTGTAGACTACATCAATTTTATGAGGGGAGTAGACTTGGCTGACAAACATATAGCCCTATCTGGTGAACCGAAAAACTAGGACCTGGTACAAGAAAATTGCAATCTACCTAAGCTAGATTGCAATTTTCAACTCCTACGTGCTTTATAAAATTTAACAGAGAGACAATAGATAGGGGGGTGGGGGAGGGGGGTTAGAGATCTCTTGGCTCGGACAAGTAAACATACTTAAATCATATTTGGTTCCAAAAATTGTATATTTGTTTAAAACTATTCTGATCCCAGTTCCATCTAATATAATAACAGAAATTGTTTTTTTTTGTCTTCCTATGTGTGGAATGCTTAAAAAACCAAGAGTACCTGGTTATGTTCTCAAGAGAAACATAAACTCAGGAGGACTGGGATATCCAGATCTACAAAAAAAATCATGAAATATGTATGCTCTCCCGTCTATTTATGTTAAACATTAAAATAAATAAAAATCTGGGATTGTATAATCTAGAAAGGAGTAAATGTGGAGGGATTGGTCCCTACGTTTTCCTCTGACTAGACTATGAACATTTTAGACAACTCAAAATATCGAATCAAATATAATCGCTATTGATGACCTGGTTTTTAGATTCATTAAGAGAATTGAAAAGAGACAAACCGTAAATCCTATTACTAGAGCTAGCCCTATTTAGTCTCTCCCACTGTATATAGAAGATCTAGATATTTCACAATGGCAAAACTACGATATAAAATAATTTCAGATCTTTATCATAGCGAAAACCTTAAGATCTTTTTCCAACTTGCAGAAAAGGTGTGGTCTCCCATCACGTGAGATATTTAAATATATTAGGATTAAACATTTTCTTACTTCAGATCTAACAAGTCATCCAGAATTAATAGACATTCTTCATGCTACACAACTTTCTTCATGCTGCACATTCTAAAACAATTGCTATAATTGGTAAAATTCTAAATAATCTTAAATAAATCTGAAGCTGTTTCCAGTTTGGAGAGAGATTGTGCTTTTACTGTTTCTTCACGAGAACCGCCATGCATTGTATCAGTCTACATGAACAATACATCAAGTTAATACAGAGATGGTATCATTTTTGGTGGGAATGCCCGAGACTGGCTCCTATCAAAAAATGTGATGAAGAACAACTGATAACTCTCTTCTCAATTGAATATAGCCTTACACCACAAACTTTCCTGTTTCATATCGATTTACCTGTTACAGGAAAATATAATAGATATCTATGTGTTAACATCCTGGCTGCAGCGAAAATGTGTTTAGCTAGACATTGGATAAATACAACCACTCCAACAGGGATCAAAGTAAAACCTTAAATACATTTCCAGAGAGAGGCAGAGAAATTATACTTTATTAAGGATATAAAGACGGCATATAAATACAAAAAAATATGGGATCCACAGATTGAGAAGAACGCAGAAATAACGGAAACAATGAACGAGCCATGAGTCAAGGAATGGACAATTCAGAATAGTCAGGAGCCAAGCCAAAGGACAAGGAATACAGAGATCGGATAGTCAGAAGGAAAGCCAAGGTCAAATACACTAGAATCAATACCAGAAACATGCTCTCGGATAACCAGAATGGAAACCACAAAACAGGTTTATATAGTCTAAGGTGCTCCCTGATTGGCTGCAGGGAAGCATGTGTTCGTGGGCTTGTTTGTGTAGCACACCCACAGGTCTATAATGAAATGGCACTTTAAGGGTTAACTAGTAAAACTTTTAAATTCAACAAAGCTGCAGCGGCCGGCATCTCTAATGATTACAGACCCGGCCGCTGTGAGAGGAGGAGGAGCCACCACTGGGAGTGTGTGATGGTCGGCATTCCTATTACCACGTGGGAATGCCGCCGGACCAAGATGTGTCCGCCGGGCATGAGCGGTCCAGGCGTGCGACTGCAAGACAGGTATGAATCTGGGGGCATTCTTCTTGACGTGTGGGAATGCCGCCACAATGGCGTGACAGTACTCCCTCCACAAAAACCGCCCACCGGGCCGGCTTATTGGGAAAGCATGTAGCACCCTGGCAGCAGGAATGTCGGAGGCAGGAACCCACAAACACTCCTCCGGCCCATAACCCTTCCAATTTATCAAATACTGCAACACACCCATCGACCACCTGGAGTCTACAATTGACTGAATCTCATACTCGTCTCGACCATCAACAGACACAGGAGAAGGACGAAATGAGCGCTTAGTGTAACGATTACACAACAAAGGCATAAGCAGGGATAGGGCGGCGTGACAGTTTGCTACAAGAAAGGACTCTGAAAGGACTAAAATTATTAGTGTCCTTCCTGTCTATCTCTACCTGCCCTCTGCGTAACAACTTGTTTCAAAGTCTACCATACAGAGCTGAATTATTGAATCACTCTGTATGGGACTCTGTCAGTTTGATTTCCCTGGATTTCTGGCCTCAGCTTGTCCTAACTGCACTTTGTTACATGCCTGTACCGACTTACTGGCTTGTTTTACTGCCTACTCTGACTTCTGACCCTGTCTACGTTAAGCACTGCCATTATAAAATAACTACACCAAACAACTCAAAATACTACATTTAGAATACTTATTAAAATGGTATACCATCTTGGGGCAATTTTGTTTTAGG